AGATTCATTTTTGGCCTTTATTGTACTTCAAACAGATTAATAATAAAATGATGGTAACGTTGTCGCACGTGTTCCTTGCTGAACACCTGATCACAGGAAAGGTCAAAAAGTTCATGTCAGCTCCTCCAGGCAGTTCGATGCATTTAAAAATGTGTCAGTCTCTCATGTTAGAAGCAAACGCGACCTTGGGACAGATCAGCACCCAAAGGCAATGTTAGATATTACACAACTAAAAATAAAATGCATCTTGTCAAAATGGAGATTACAGTTTCAAAATCCATGAGTCACGAGCTCTGAAATATCGGTGCAGACGGAGGCCAGCTCTCGTGGCTTTGTGGTTTATGCAACGAGCTGATTTACGGAGACGACTGGCTGTTGTGAGAACTGTCTCGATGTTGGTTGGAGGAGGTACTGGCAGTAAGAAATTTTAAACAACTACTCCCTCTTTGATAAGAGCTCGGGGAGCTGCTCGAGAAAACATCAGCAGGTTGAAGGCTTGCCAACACGGGTGTTAAATCCCTGTTTTCCATTTAGAGAACAGCTGCCCCGCTGCTTGTTTGCAAAATAAAGGGTGTGTGGTACGTTCACGGGAATGAACTACTCTGCAGTCCTTCTTGGCATTAGTTCTTTCTTCAGTACGCTGCAATGTTCGATACGTGTTTCACGTCAAATCTGAGTGTGAAGTATTTTGATTACAGAAGGATTAAAGTCGAAGGCTTAGACTTGCAAGAATGAAAATGGATTTTCAAACAATCAAAACATTTCATTTCTCTGCAGTAACCTTAAAATGTATTGTTTTTAATATCAAACCAGCGAGAGAGGACACAAACATTTAAAGTGATGAACAATTCTTGAATAAATATGTAAAACGTCTGATGAACTGGATGAAATGAAATTACTTCAGTTCTGTGTCGTTTCTTTAGGCTTGTTTGTTCTGTACTTGGTGCTGTGTATGTGCCACAGTCAGGGCGGGTCTGTCCCTCCTTCAGATGTCTTCTAGGTCTCCTCCTCGCAGCCCTCTTTGGCACTTATCTAGCGTCTTATAGTAGGCGCGGGTGATCATCGAGCTTGGTGATTTGCATTGTGCCGTGAGCGAGATCTTTCCAGGACTGCACGACGGTTGTCTGGTTAAAAAAAACAGGAAGACAAAGAATAAAAATACAAAACGTGAGAATCAGAAGGAACATGAAAGCGCTGGTGCATTGATTCATACTAGCTCAGGAGCTCAACCTAATCAAAGACTGTATAGAAAAACTAAAGAGGGCAAAAAAAAAAAAAAAGACAAGAGGAGAAACGTGAAGAACATCCAGGCTGATTGAGAGCAGAGCAGCAGGGAAGGAGGGAGACACAGAAGAAGCTGCTGGAGTGGAGGTGCTTGTCTCTGGTGTCATAGTAACTCCATTCAGCTCCTGATCCAGACTTCCACTCAAGAGCCCCTCAACCTCTCTCTCATCAGATGCAGCATATGCACACTACACAAAGTAAATGCACCACGCACAAGAACTAATAACACTAGAAAAACAGTATACATATGGGCTTTTTCCATTAGACCAGGTTGAAGTGTTTTCAAGCCTGTGTGCTCTCTCCGTCGTGACACGTTTGCACCGTGGCCTCCCTGCAGGGGACAGGTGCACTGCAACAAGCTGCTGCGGAGGTGATAGCAGAGCCGCCCGTGGCCAAACTACGTGGCGTCCTCACTGTCTTTAGTGGCTCAAATGTGCTGGAGATTAGAGAGACGTCCTCTGGTGCTCAACTGTCGATACTTTTGCAACTCTAGAGTTTATTTGAAGCTATGTGGTTCATTCACATGTCAACCTTGTATTACTGTGAACTGAATGTTTTCAGCTGCATCGAGTGCACTAAACACTTCCTGCTTCACGAGAAAAGCTTTTGTCTGGTGAACTGGCAAAGGCTCTAATACAGAACCCAGACAGAAGCATTGTGTTGTAGCTTTAGCATTAGAAAGATCCTTTGAGAAATGAAAAGGATCAACCTAAGAGTCCAAACTTCAAGTGAAAAAAAGACTAATATGAGTCAAAATATGCAGAAAAAATTCAATCAGATATGATTCGCTGCTAGTAACAGAGAATATGCCACTGTAGCACTTGTGGTCAGAAAGCAGGCCAGTCACACTTTGGGTTTTTCTCTTGCCAGTTCTATGACAGAGTCATACAAACACCGCCTCCTATGCTATCCAACGACGGCTGCCCAGAAATGCCCATGGCATCTACTGGGCAGCCAGGTGGCAGGTGGGGCTGAGCAGAACCAGGAAGCATAGCCATGGAGATGACTGCAGGCACACCCACACAGGACTCCCTGGTATTTCCAAGCGTGCCGTCGCCAATGTGCCCATTACTCAGTGCCAGCTGTAGGGTGCCAGGCGTCCCTGGCTGGGCGTTGTTTAATGGCACTCGCACCATCCATCATGTCAGGTAATGAGCTGAGAGTGACTGCGATGCCGACGAACACATACACAAACACGTTCGCACGCGAGATCCACACCGACTCCCACATTCACAGCGGAGAACGGCGAGCACTCCTTCAGACTGGATACAAAGCATCATGCAGATGGTGCACAGGAGGAGAGGGGGAGAAAGAAGGAGGGATGAAAGAGACCGAAAGGAAGACAGCTCAAGATGTTTAAGAAAAGCAGATAAAGGTCCTGCATCCTCAAATTATTTTAGTACAACATAGATTCATATATAATAGGAAACTGCAAAAGCTACCAGGTTGTGGCAGCGCATCCAAACACATCACGACCGCTTATTCATGTCCTCGTTTTTTCTGTTCACAAGTTGTGCTTTATTGTGTAAGCATGACTTACACAACCTTCCTCTTTTCAAAGTAAGAAGCAGCATTATACAAAAAAGAAAGCAAAAATGGGGACAGTTTAAAAAACTAGATCATCCACAATCTATCCCTGCCAATCATTTGCAAGCCCAATTGCTGTAACCTCGTTTCTGCACAAGCAGTCCCCTTTAACCCTCATTCTATCAGAGGAACATGAAAAACAGAGCTCGGAGAATACAGACCCACTGTCTCTGATCTGAGGTCGTCTTGGGTTACATCTATTACTGTAAATAGGAAATGGGATAGAAAATAGGAATGGGAAAAACAATAGTGAAAGGGATCAAAG